GGTCCTCACAATAATCCTACAAGGTCATATGGAGAGGACTGTTTTTGTTTTTGTCTGAGAGTGTCCATCCCTCCCTTCTACTGGCGACTACCCCATGATTTCAGCTGGGTCTGCTGTCTTGGTGGAGCAGCCAGTCTAAGTTTTCTATGCTGTCCTGGCATAGGGCTAGACACATATCCCAAGATAGGCAAATCATATGCTGTTCCTGAAATTTGAATCTTGAACAGCATGAATCAGAAGGACTAAGCAACCACTTTGTCATACTCATCCAGGTGGTGATGTCCTGAAAAGACTTCCCAAAGTATTTGGTGTCTAGATCCAATGAGCTGCTCTGGACTTGCCGTTTCTCAAGCTGGGTTTTTCAGCTCTTCCTCTGAATTTGTGAACTTTCCTATGTAATTCCAACAACATCTTTTTTAAAAAAATTATGTTACCCAAGTTTGGTTTCTCCCACTTACCCTCAAAAAATTTTCGACCAATACAGAAATATGCAGAAATATACTAGTATTATTTCAAATTAGAGACTGAAACTGAAACTGAATCTTAATGAAACTTGCCCAAGATCACCCAGACAATAAGAAGCATTATCACATTTCTGTAACAGTAGTTTGTCTTAATTTTAACCAACTCTTCTCAATCTCTCTCTGTATACATACATAGATATGTGTGTGTTTATATATACAGCATTCTTCTACAGTTGAAATCTTACCATAATCACAATTTTAATCATTTTCAGCTTTTAGTTTTTTTTGGTAACAAAATAACTAGAAAATTTCAAAACCACTGTCAGGTACAATGAAGATAAAACTCACCCATTATTCCAACACCTAGACATTATCATCATCACTATTAGCATTTTGATGTATTTTCATTAGTCTCTCTCTCTTTCTTTCTCTCTCTCTCTCCATATCATATACATACACACACCCATACACACACAAATAGGAAGCCATAAAAATATATATTTACATGCAAATATATATTTACCTATGTTGGGATCCATGCTGTACATACAGATTTGTATAATCACTTTTTTCTCTTACCATTAATTTGTAAGCATTTTCCTGGGTAATTAAACTTCTTTCAAAATATTTTAATGGCTATAATGAGTTTCATTATATGGGTATACCATAATGTGTTTAATTACTCCTCTTTCAGACATTTAATTGCTGTTTCTTTTGTTTTCTTTTTTGCTTTGATAAATAGCACTGCAATTAACAACTTTGTTGGCACTTGATTATTTTATTAGAATAGATTTTGAAAGTGGAACTATTGGCTTAAAGGCTTTGAACGTTTTAAAGGTTCTTGATATATACTGTCAAAAATCTTTTCAGAAGGAGTGTGCCAATTTATAATCCTACAACTAGTATTTAAAAGTTAATTTCACTCAAGCTGCAGAAAAGAGCAGAGATTTCAATGGAAATTTTAAACAAATGAGATCAAAATCCTGAAGCATTTCTTCAAAGAATTGTAACAGGAGATGAAACATGGCTTCACCAGTATGGTCTTGAAGACAAAGCACAATCAGAGCCATGGCTACCAAGAGGTAGAAGTGGTCCAGTCAAAAAGCAAAAGCAGACCAGTCAAAAGCAAAAGTCATGGCAAGTTTTTTGAAATGCTGAAGGCATTTTCCTTTTTGACTTTCTGAAGGTCCAATGTACAACAGCATCTGCTTATTGTTTTGAGAAAGTTAGTCAAAGCTTTAGCAGAAAAATGACAGGGGAAAAAAAACAGAGAATCCTTCTCCACTACGACAATGCTCCTGCTTACTTCTCTCCAAACAAGGGCAATTTTGTGAGAGTTTTGATGGGAAATCATTAGACCTCCACTTTCCAGTCTTGATTTGGCTCCTTCTAACTTCTTTTTGTTTCCTAATCTTAAAAAATTTTTCAAGGGCACCCATTTTCCTTCAGTTAATAATGTAAAAAAGACTGCATGGACATGATTAAATTCCCAGGACCCTCAGTTCTTTAGGGATGGACTAAATGCTGGTATCATGGCTTACAAAAGTGTCTTGAACTTGATGGAGCTTATGTTGAGAAATAAAGTTTACATTTTTTATTTTTATCCTTAAAAAAAAATGAAAACACTACTGACTTTTGTATGTTGATTTTGTAAACTGTATCTTCATTAAATTTGTTTATCAGTTCTAAAAATAACAAAAAACCAAAAAAACAAAAGTTAGTTTCACTCAACTGTCCAAACATGGATGCCAACTTTAAAAAATTATTAAATGCAAATTTAATAATTGGAAATTAGAGCCCATGTTGTACTTGGCATTTATTCTAATGTCTTTTATTTCTGATTGTAAAGTAATACAAGTTATTGCAGAAAGATTAAAAATATAAAAGATTACAGAAAACAATCACTTGTCATACATATTTAAACATAACATTGTAGTTGGATGAATATTACTTTGTCTTCTTGCTGTATACATACCATACTATAATACATAAATAATATTTATAATGTTGAGGTCTTATGGCTAATATTTTTACATCTAAAATTTTATTTATTATACATTGTGACAACTTTCCTGAGTTATCAAATATTCTTGAAAGTATTATTTTTATTACTTGCCGAATATGCTGTCTTATGAATCTGCCATGTATTTAACCTTTCTTATTGGACATGTACTGATCAATACCTATGGAATTGCAATACATGTTATTGTTTAAAGCCTTTGACTGCATTTCTGATGATTTCAATAGAATTTATGACCAGAAGTGAAATTATAGGCTTCAGAGTTATGGGTATTTTATTTTAAAGTTTCTTGATAAATATTGTCAAACTTTTCCTAAAATCCTTATTCCAGTTGCACATGAAATTACACTTCAACTCTTCTCAATATTATGTTTTATTCTATTTCAGTGATTAAAGTTTCATGTTTTTCTAATTATTTTACATTTGTTTGAAATATTTGCATTTCTTTTTTTCTGAATTCACCGATCTTGTCCTCCACATATTTTTTCCCATTGAATCTAGTATCATGAAGAGACTTGGGCATCCTTGCCTGAGGATTTACTCTCTACTAGCACAGACCGCAGAAGGATAACTCTAAGTCCCCCAGTTACTCTCACTAAATATTTTCTTTGAATAGTTCTATCATCTGTGGCTCTCATTGATAGATGTTCTCATATGCTTCTAAGTATATGTGGTTATAGTCATTCATATTTGAAAAGTTTACAATTTGCAGTTTACATTACATTTACGATGTATGTTTATATTTTAATTACAGTGATTTTACGAATGGGGAGGTTGAGGTCTACAGGAGAAAGCTGAGGGCAATAGCCAGTGGGAAATAAAGTCAAGATTCAAAGCACGTCTTCAATTCTTAGATCTTTCAGTTTTCATTAAGTCACATTACCAACGTTCCTAGTGTCCAGAATATAAAATGACTCCACATGCCTTAAGAAAGTTCTGGAAAAATGTTAAGGAGGCAAAAGCATGTGCTGTATTTTTAGAATGAGACTGATTTACATTTGGGGGCTTTTAATTGCAGTCATCCATCAATTTTGAACTTTCAATGTCTAAATATAAAAATGCAGCAATATAAACAAGCCAGCTGCTTTTTTACACTGAGGATGGATTGAGTTTGTGAATGAGTGAAGCGATAGGAAACAACAGCAAGATTAAGAATATTCTAGCCCCTTTCGATAACCTAAGCCACCTATCAGGACCTTGTAGAGCTTCCAATTTTAAGCTGCTCCCCGCCCCCCGCCCCCCGCCCCCAACATTCTTAGGAAAGACGGGTTCACGCCAAAGCAAAATGGGTACATTGATATCTTCCATGTTTTTCGAAAACTAAGATATCATTTTTCATTTTGCTACTGAAAATGGTCTTGCCCCATTTAAAATAAAATTGTCAACGATCTGTGATTCCGTGAGAGCTTATTTAAGTAGCATTCTTTTCTTTTCTTTGGAAAACACATTTCTTTGCCACGCCTGCAAATTAAAACATCCCCTTCCAAGGAGAGCGTAGGAGACAATCAGCTCTTCCTTCCTCGGGGAGGGGTTTAATTACTGTGTACGATCTGCTATTTGAGACACGGTACAAGCAGAGCGTGGGTCTCCACAGGTGTCGCCAGGAGGCCTGCTAGTGCGAGGAAGGAGGCGGGAAGATTCCCGAGCCCTGCGGGGGCCCGGCTGCCCCTTCGTGCCGGGCAGAGATTCGGCCTCGCCAATCCCCGCGGCGCACGCGCGCTCGCCTCCCCCGCTCGCCACCTCCCCCCCCCTCA